GGCGGCGGCCGGCAGCGGCCCCGGCCCCGGCGCACTTCGCCACACGGTTCCCCAGGGCATTCAAACATCCTGCGCTGCCACCGAGGGACGGGGATCAGCCATTCTGCTCTTCCCGTGATTACTCACAGCCTACAAGCAACACCATATGCTTCTTCTGATCAAACAACCCGCTACATAGGCACCAGTAATTGACGAGACCTGCTCGAAATCACGCAGAAAGGTAGCCTACTGAGACCGCAGGAGTTGACAAATCATTGCTAATAATCCTTTTAGGAACATCATGGGCATCAGAGTTTGCAATAGCTTTATTTTTATAAAGTATGCGCTGACAGTATAAAGGACAACTCGGTCCCCTTTGAAACAGAGGGCTGCCCCGCATAATGATCTTCAAGGCGGCAGATCACATAGGAGAGGAAAGCGGCTTGATGAAGGCTTTAATTATCATTTTTCTTAAAGCTTTCAGGCGTTATAGCTTTCATTTATCCCTTCTTTGGTTCTAAGTGACTTGGAGACATGGCACATTGTTTAAAGAGACTATTGCAAGATGCACTAGATTGGAAATTACTTCTGTGGACTCTAGGTATAAGCGTTCATATGCAACCGGGGGGGTGGGGGGGATACCTCCCCCAGTCCAAATGACTGCCCGATTGCGTATTTATTTTTAAAAACTAGATTAGGACCAATAGTTTACAGACTTAATCAGGTTAAACAAACAAACAAACAAACAAACAACAAAACATCTAAAGCAAAGCAAAACAAAACCAGGCCGTATACCCACTCTTGACTTGTAAAACATGGTAGACAGACAGACTGACCAACCGACCGACTCGAGGTATAACTACAGAAAGCACAGAGGGACACATCTATGCTACGTTGTTTCTCGTACACACACTTTTCAACGAAAGATGCAGCGAATTTTGTTATTAGGTTGGGAAAAAAAGCTCTTCATACTTTTTCTTTCATGCATACTATCTTTCAGTCGAGTTCTCTCAATCTAAATAAAAGATTCGTGAAGTATTTTGAATTTCATCTTATAAAAACAATAGAGTGAGAACACAGGAGAACTTTATTCCGACTCTCTTAACTTTCTGTGCTCTTTGTTTTTCTTGGCAGCCAGTCTCAAAGCCCCGAGACGGTCGCTTTAAATCTTAATTCTACTTAAAGGCAAGGAATACTGTCGGACGCTTAAGTCTGCTTTTGCTAGACAAGGCGGGCCCGTCGCTGCTGCCCTGGAAGTCACCGTGAAGGTGACTGCTGCCCGAGCGTGGAGGAGAACCAGGCCCAGGCCGGGTCGCTGGGCTTGCGGCGTTGGGCAGGCAGGGGGATTGAATATGTCCGAGTACAAACCGCCTGTTAAAATTTTCCGAGGGCGATTAACGCCCTCAGACTGCCCCAATGATCCTCAGGGCGAGACACACATCCCATTCAAGATGCGATTCGGTGCGCTTGGCTTATTTATTTAGGCTGTGCGTGTGTGCGCGTCTGAGCACGCCGGTGCGCCTGTGCCGTACCTGTAAACCGCACCTTTGCTCGCTGCTTGAACTAAGGCTTTAGGACTTTGCACAAGACTTATGTAAATATTTACCCATATATTAACTCCCCCCATAGTATGGCTATAAATAGGGGTGAAGCCTCCCCTCTTTCGCCACGCACGTGCTTGGCGGGGGATGCAGACCTTGCTGGGGGACCGGGGGGAAAGAAAACCCGTGTTTGCTTTAGCAGAACACGCAGCAGAGCTCAGTGCCTTCAAGTGTTGACAAAAGCACCGTAAGTCCCTAACCAAACCTGTCGTAGGAACTGAAGGGAAAGTGTTTACGACAGAGAAAAGTGACGGCGGAGAGCACCCTGCCTCCGAGCACGACACCCCATGCGATTCACTTTTTTCTTTTTTTTTAAGTAAAAGCGACAAGCGACACCTGGATCGGCATGGAAATAGAGGCGAATAGGCATTCCCACCTACCTTCTGGAAAAACCACCCTCATTTTTAAATAGCTGGTGGTGAGTCTGATTATGGATGCTTTGTCCAGCTGCGAGGTGATAGCGGAGGGCAGGGGTAGTAATTTAGCCAGTTCATAAAATTCACTGTTTTCTTTCTCCCGTCTAGTCCGGGCAGCATTTTTGGACTTCTCTTTCATCGTGGTTTTTTCCCCCTTCCTTCCTACAATTTAAACTCCAGAGATTCATCCAAAGGTGGAAGGGAAACTTTCAGCTACAATTCATCTCTCCGGAGCATCAGGCAGTGATTCTGAGCGCGGCCATTACTCGGAGAAACCGTTCAGTTGCGTAAAATGCAAACAAGTATTGAAGACCAGAGAGGTGTTCTTAAAAAACAAACAAACAAACAAAAAAAACTCTCTGAAAAGCAGAGTCAATCGGATGGGAAAGGTATTTATCCAATGCAGCTCAGAGACTCCAAGCAACTGCAGGAAAAAATAAAACCAAAAAACAGCTAGAAGCTTGCGGCACCAGACAGCAACCAAACGAGGTATTTCTGGCCTTTTTCCCTACTCATGGCGGGCAGCGTAGCTCCTCGGAAGAGGGTCATAATAATCCCATTTCTTCCCGTGATCCGCTGTCAATCCGAGGCCCGAAACGCCCGGCCGTGGGCTGCCTCCCAGGGCGCTGGGTGACTCCCCGGGAGCCTCTGTGAAGACAACAGCAGTCCTGGGGTGAGAGAGCCGCTACGCAACGCCGCAGCGGACCCGCGAGAAGTAATAATCAACAAACAGCCTCCGGCGGGTGTAGTATTTTCTCCCACCAGAGGGAAAAAAAAAAAAAAAAGAGCAGAAGTACATTTTCCCATCTAGCGCGCCCGCAGAGGAGCCTGCCCCGCACTCTCCTCCCACAGCCCTCACCCTCCCCAGCCCAGGTGTGCGCGGCGTGACCCGAAGGAACCCCCGGCAGGAACCGGCCCCCGGCTCCCGGCAAAGGCGCAGGAGTTACCGGCTGCTGTCGGTGCTGGCGGGGGGGACCGCGCCGTCCGCTCC